ACACTACGGGGACCTAACAGGTACTTTGTCCGACTATGAAATGCTAGTTTCAGTTGCAATTACATGGCCACACGCACCATGGTGTCACATTGGATAGGGTTTACTTAAATAGTAATATGTTATTGTCCTGTTCTGCCGCGCGAGTCGTTGTAGTATAGTGGTGAGCAGTGTTGAAAAAATCGCGCCTAGGCGCTGGGCGGTGGGAGGCCGCTGCGAGGAATGGCATAGACCGCCTAACCTGCCGGTTCGGCAAATTTATTTATTTATTTTTTTTGAAAATGTCAAAAATGTTTTGGAAGGCATAACTTTTGACTCGGTTGTCTGATTTGGTCAATTTTTTTTTTTTAAATCGCGTTTTTTTTCGAGATCTATACACCGCAAACAGCCAAAGGCGGTTTGGTCCACTAATTTCTCAAAAAAATGCCTCTTTAGTTCTTAATTTTAGTTTTTTATGTATTTAGATGGTTAAAACAATATTTTGAACAATTTTACAACCACTTTCGTAAATAGTTTCTAAGAAACAACTATGGAAACCTTATGTTCTATTACTAAATTTAAAAAATTTTAATTTTTCATTTTATTAAAAATTAAAAAAATTAAAAAAAATAAATAAAAAAATCGGCGCCTAGGGGGCGCTTAACGTTTTATGCAGCATTGGTGGTGAGTATTCCCGCCTGTCACGCGGGAGACCTGGGTTTGATCCCCGGCAACATCATTTCTTTTTTTAGCTCTTCAAAGGAAAAATCAAAAAGCTTAATATTGTAAAAAATCAATCCGACCTGCCGGATTCGAACTAGCGACCTAAGGATTTCCAATTTAGATTAGTCCAACAAAAGTCCACCACTTTACCAACTGAGCTAAGGTCAGAGCTGTTAACATTATTTTTGTCCGATTTATACTCTTTTATGGCATATCGCACAATCTGACATGGCAGTTCGAATGCCGCGTGGACAAACTTAACGGAAGAAATTATCGGTGTTAATATTGTCATTAATTGTTCAAAATCTTAAAGTAAATAGACTAAATTACACGAAATAAAGGTATAATGACTAAATTGAACAAAACGCTACACTACGGGGACCTAACAGGTACTTTGTCCGACTATGAAATGCTAGTTTCAGTTGCAATTACATGGCCACACGCACCATGGTGTCACATTGGATTGGGTTTACTTAAATAGTAATATGTGACTGTCCTGTTTTGTTGTGCGAGTCGTTGTAGTATAGTGGTGAGTATCCCCGCTTGTCGCGCGGAAGACCTGGGTTCGATTCCTGGCAATGGCGTCTTTTTTTTTTTTTTTTTCTTTTTTTTTTTAAGCTCTTCAAAGGAAAAATTAAAAAGCTTAATATTGTAGAACATCAATCCAACCTGCCGGAATCAAACCAGCGACCTAAGGATTTCCAATTTAGATTAGTCCAACTACAGTCCACCACTCTACCAACTGAGCTAAGGTCAGAGCTGTTAACATTATTTTTGTCCGATTTATACTCTTTTATGCCATATCACACAATCTGACATGGCAGTTCGAATGCCGCGTGGACAAACTTAACGGAAGAAATTATCGGTGTTAATATTGTCGTTAATTGTTCAAAATCTTAAAGTAAATACACTAAATTACACGAAATAAAGGTACAATGACTAAATTGAACAAAACGCTACACTACGGGGACCTAACAGGTACTTTGTCCGACTATGAAATGCTAGTTCCAGTTGCAATTACATGGCCACACGCACCATGGTGTCACATTGGATAGGGTTTACTTAAATAGAAATATGTGACTGTCCTGTTCTGCCGCGCGAGTCGTTGTAGTATAGTGGTGAGCAGTGTTGCAAAAATCGCGCCTAGGCGCTGGGCGGTGGGAGGCCGCCGCGAGGAATGGCATAGACCGCCCAACCGGCCGGTTCGGCGATTTTTTTTTTTTTTTTGAAAATGTCGAAAATGTTTTGGAAGGCATAACTTTTGAATCGGTTGTCTGATTTGGTCAAATTTTTTTTCAAATCGCGTATTTTTTCGAGATCTATACACCGCAAACAGCCAAAGGCGGTTTGGTCCACTAATTTCTCAAAAAAATGCCTCTTTAGTTCTTAATTTTTGTTTTTTTTATGTATTTAGATGGTTAAAACAATATTTTGAACAATTTTACAACCACTTTCGTAAATAGTTTCAAAGAAACAACTATGGAAACCTTATGTTTTATTACTAAATTTAAAAAATTTTAATTTTTAATTTTATTAAAAATAAAAAAAATTAAAAAAAATAAATAAAAAAATCGGCGCCTAGGGGGCGCCTAACGTTTTATGCAGCATTGGTGGTGAGTATTCCCGCCTGTCACGCGGGAGACCTGGGTTCGATCCCCGGCAACAGCGTTTCTTTTTTTAGCTCTTCAAAGGAAAAATTAAAAAGCTTAATATTGTAAAAAATCAATCTGACCTGCCGGATTCGAACCAGCGACCTAAAGATTTCCAATTTAGATTAGTCCAACAAAAGTCCACCACTCTACCAACTGAGCTAAGGTCAGAGCTGTTAACATTATTTTTGTCCGATTTATACTCTTTTATGGCATATCGCACAATCTGACATGGCAGTTCGAATGCCGCGTGGACAAACTTAACGGAAGAAATTATCGGTGTTAATATTGTCCTTAATTGTTCAAAATCTTAAAGTAAATAGACTATATTACACGAAATAAAGGTACAATGACTAAATTGAACAAAACGCTACACTACTGGGACCTAACAGGTACTTTGTCCGACTATGAAATGCTTGTTTCAGTTGCAATTACATGGCCACACGCACCATGGTGTCACATTGGATAGGGTTTACATAAATAGTAATATGTGACTGTCATGTTCTGCCGCGCGAGTCGTTGTAGTATAGTGGTGAGCAGTGTTGAAAAAATCGCGCCTAGGCGCTGGGTGGTGGGAGGCCGCCGCGAGGAATGGCATAGACCGCCTAACCTGACGGTTCGGCGAATTTATTTATTTATTTTTTTTGAAAATGTCAAAAATGTTTTGGAAGGCATAACTTTTGACTCGGTTGACTGATTTGGTCAATTTTTTTTTTTAAATCGCGTTTTTTTTCGAGATCTATACACCGCAAACAGCCAAAGGCGGTTTGGTCCACTAATTTCTTAAAAAAATGCCTCTTTAGTTCTTAATTTTAGTTTTTTATGTATTTAGATGGTTAAAACAATATTTTGAACAATTTTACAACCACTTTCGTAAATAGTTTCTAAGAAACAACTATGGAAACCTTATGTTTTATTACTAAATTTAAAAAATTTTAATTTTTAAATTTATTAAAAATTAAAAAAATTAAAAAAAATAAATAAAAAAATCGGCGCCTAGGGGGCGCCTAATGTTTTATGCAGCATTGGTGGTGAGTATTCCCGCCTGTCACGCGGGAGACCTGGGTTCGATCCCCGGCAACAGCGTTTCTTTTTATAGCTCTTCAAAGGAAAAATTAAAAAGCTTAATATTGTAAAAAATCAATCTGACCTGCCGGATTCGAACCAGCGACCTAAGGATTTCCAATTTAGATTAGTCCAACAAAAGTCCACCACTCTACCAACTGAGCTAAGGTCAAAGCTGTTAACATTATTTTTGTCCGATTTATACTCTTTTATGGCATATCGCACAATCTGACATGGCAGTTCGAATGCCGCGTGGACAAACTTAACGGAAGAAATTATCGGTGTTAATATTGTCCTTAATTGTTCAAAATCTTAAAGTCAATAGACTAAATTAAACGAAATAAAGGTACAATGACTAAGTTGAACAAAACGCTACACTACGGGGACCTAACAGGTACTTTGTCCGACTATGAAATGCTAGTTTCAGTTGCAATTACATGGCCACACGCACCATGGTGTCACATTGGATAGGGTTTACTTAAATAGTAATATGTGACTGTCCTGTTCTGCCGCGCGAGTCGTTGTAGTATAGTGGTGAGCAGTGTTGAAAAAATCGCGCCTAGGCGCTGGGCGGTGGGAGGCCGCCGCGAGGAATGGCATAGACCGCCTAACCTGACGGTTCGGCGAATTTATTTATTTATTTTTTTTGAAAATGTCAAAAATGTTTTGGAAGGCATAACTTTGACTCGGTTGTCTGATTTGGTCAAATTTTTTTTTTAAATCGCGTTTTTTTTCGAGATCTATACACCGCAAACAGCCAAAGGCGGTTTGGTCCACTAATTTCTTAAAAAAATGCCTCTTTAGTTCTTAATTTTAGTTTTTTTTATGTATTTAGATGGTTAAAACAATATTTTGAACAATTTTACAACCACTTTCGTAAATAGTTTCTAAGAAACAACTATGGCAACCTTATGTTTTATTACTAAATTTAAAAAATTATAATTTTTAATTTTATTAAAAATAAAAAAAATTAAAAAAAATAAATAAAAAAATCGGCGCCTAGGGGGCGCCTAACGTTTTATACATCATTGGTGGTGAGTATTCCCGCCTGTCACGCGGGAGACCTGAGTTCGATCCCTGGCAACAGCGTTTTTTTTTTTAGCTCTTCAAAGGAAAAATTTAAAAGCTTAATATTGTAAAAAATCAATCCGACCTGCCGGATTCGAACCAGCGACCTAAGGATTTCCAATTTAGATTAATCAAACTACAGTCCTCTGCACTACTAACTGAGCTAAGGTCAGAGCAATTAACTATATTTTTGTCCGTATTGTACTCTTTTATGCCACATCGCACAATCCGACATGGCAGTTCGAATATCACGTAGACAAAAACTTAACGGAAAAAATTATCGGTGTCAATGTTGTCCTTAATTGATCTAAATCTTAAAGTACCGGGACTAGATTACACAAAATAAAGGTACAACTACTAAATTGAACAAAATGCTACAGTACAGGGACCTAACAGGTACTTTATCCGACTATGAAATGTTAGTTTCAGTTGCAATTAGATCGCCACACGAACCATGATGCCACATTTGATTGGGTTTACTTAAATAGTAATATGTGACTGTCCTATTCTGCTGCGCGAGTCGTTGTAGTAAAGTGGTGAGTATCCCCGCCTATCACGCGGGAGGCCTGGGTTTGATCCTCGGCAACGACGTCATATTTTTATTTTTTTTTTTAAGGTCTTCAAAGGAAAAACTAAAAAGCTTAATATTGTAGAACATCAATCCAACCTGCCGGAATCAAACCAGCGACCTAAGGATTTCTAATTTAGATTAGTCCAACTATAGTCCACCACTCTACCAACTGAGCTAAGGTCAGAGCTGTTAACATTATTTTTGTTCGATTTATACTCTTTTATGCCATATCGCACAATCTGACATGGCAGTTCGAATGCCGCGTGGACAAACTTAACGGAAGAAATTATCGGAGTTAATATTGTCCTTAATTGTTCAAAATCTTAAAGTAAATAGACTAAATTACACGAAATAAAGGTACAATGACTAAATTGAACAAAACGCTACACTACGGGGACCTAACAGGTACTTTGTCCGACTCTGAAATGCTAGTTTCAGTTGCAATTACATGGCCACACGCACCATGGTGTCACATTGGATTGGGTTTACTTAAATAGTAATATGTGACTGTCCTGTTCTGCCGCGCGAGTCGTTGTAGTATAGTGGTGAGTATCCCCGCCTGTCACGCGGGAGACTCGGGTTCAATCCCCGGCAATGGCGTCTTTTTTTTTTTTTTTTTTTTTTCTTTAAGCTCTTCAAAGGAAAATTTTAAAAGCTTAATATTGTAGAACATCAATCCAACTTGCCGGAATCAAACCAGCGACCTAAGGATTTCCAATTTAGATTAGTCCAACTACAGTCCACCACTCTACCAACGGAGCTAAGGTCAGAGCTGTTAACATTATTTTTGTCCGATTTATACTCTTTTATGCCATATCGCACAATCTGACATGGCAGTTCGAATGCCGCGTGGACAAACTTAACGGAAGAAATTATCGGTGTTAATATTGTCCTTAATTGTTCAAAATCATAAAGTAAATAGACTAAATTACACGAAATAAAGGTACAATGACTAAATTGAACAAAACGCTACACTACGGGGACCTAACAGGTACTTTGTCCGACTATGAAATGCTTGTTTCAGTTGCAATTACATGGCCACACGCACCATGGTGTCACATTGGATTAGGTTTACTTAAATAGTAATATGTGACTGTCCTGTTCTGCCGCGCGAGTCGTTGTAGTATAGTGGTGAGCAGTGTTGCAAAAATCGCGCCTAGGCGCTGGGTGGTGGGAGGCCGCCGCGAGGAATGGCATAGACCGCCTAACCGGCCGGTTCGGCGAATTTTTTTTTTTTTTTTTGAAAATGTCGAAAATGTTTTGGAAAGCATAACTTTTGACTCGGTTGTCTGATTTGGTCAAATTTTTTTTTTCAAATCGCGTATTTTTTCGAGATCTATACACCGCCAACAGCCGAAGGCGGTTTGGTCGACTAATTTCTCAAAAAAATGCCTCTTTAGTTCTTAATTTTAGTTTTTTATGTATCTAGATGGTTAAAACAATATTTTGAGCAATTTTACAACCACTTTCGTAAATAGTTTCTAAGAAACAACTATGGAAACCTTATGTTTTATTATTATATTTATGAAATTTTAATTTTTAATTTTATTAAAAATAAAAAAAATTAAAAAAAATAAATAAAAAAATCGGCGCCTAAGGGGCGCCTAACGTTTTATGCAGCATTGGTGGTGAGTATTCCCGCCTGTCACGCGGGAGACCTGGGTTCGATCCCCGGCAACAGCGTTTTTTTTTTAGCTCCTCAAAGGAAAAATTAAAAAGCTTAATATTGTAAAAAATCAATCCGACCTGCCGGATTCGAACCAGCGACCTAAAGATTTCCAATTTAGATTAATCAAACTACAGTCCTCCGCTCTACTAACTGAGCTAAGGTCGGAGCAATTAACTATATTTTTGTCCGTATTGTACTCTTTTATGCCACATCGCACAATCCGACATGGCAGTTCGAATGCAACGTAGAAAAAAACTTAACAGAAAAAATTATCGGTGTTAATGTTGTCCTTAATTGTTCTAAATCTTAAAGTACCGGGACTAGATTACACAAAATAAAGGTACAATAACTAAATTGAACAAAACGCTACAGTACAGGGACCTAACAGGTACTTTGTCCGACTATGAAATGTTAGTTTCAGTTGCAATTAGATCGCCACACGAACCATGATGCCACATTTGATTGGGTTTACTTAAATAGTAATATGTGACAGTCTTGTTTTACTGTGCGAGTCGTTGTAGTATAGTGGTGAGTATCCCCGCCTGTCACGCGAGAGACCCGGGTTCGATCCCCGGCAACGGCGTTCTTTCTTTTTTTTTTTTTTTTTTTTTTTTTTTTTTTTTTTTTGTTAAGCTCTTCAAAGGAAAAATTAAAAAGCTTAATATTGTAGAACATCAATCCAACCTGCCGGAATCAAACCAGCGACCTAAGGATTTCCAATTTAGATTAATCCAACTACAGTCCACCACTCTACCAACTGAGCTAAGGTCAGAGCTGTTAACATTATTTTTGTCCGATTTATACTCTTTTATGCAATATCGCACAATCTGACATGGCAGTTCAAATGCCGCGTGGACAAACTTAACGGAAGAAATTATCGGTGTTAATATTGTCCTTAATTGTTCAAAATCTTAAAGTAAATAGACTAAATTACACGAAATAAAGGTGCAATGAGTAAATTGAACAAAACGCTACACTACGGGGACCTAACAGGCACTTTGTCCGACTATGAAATGCTAGTTTCAGTTGCAATTACATGGCCACACGCAACATGGTGTCACATTGGATTGGGTTTACTTAAATAGTAATATGTGACTGTCCTGTTCTGCCGCGCGAGTCGTTGTAGTATAGTGGTGAGCAGTGTTGCAAAAATCGCGCCTAGGCGCTGGGCGGTGGGAGGCCGCCGCGAGAATGGCATAGACCGCCTAACCGGCCGGTTCGGCGAATTTTTTTTTTTTTTTTTTGAAAATGTCGAAAATGTTTTGGAAAGCATAACTTTTGAATCGGTTGTCTGATTTGGTCAAATTTTTTTTTCAAATCGCGTATTTTTTCGAGATCTATACACCGCAAACAGCCGAATGCGGTTTGGTCCACTAATTTCTCAAAAAAATGCCTCTTTAGTTCTTAATTTTAGTTTTTTATGTATCTAGATGGTTAAAACAATATTTTGAACAATTTTACAACCACTTTCGTAAATAGTTTCTAAGAAACAGCTATGGAAACCTTATGTTTTATTACTATATTTATAAAATTTTAATTTTTAATTTTATTAAAAATAAAAAAAATAAAAAATAAAAAATAAAAAAATCGGCGCCTAGGGGGCGCCTAGCGTTTTATGCAGCATTGGTGGTGAGTATTCCTGCCTGTCACGCGGGAGACCTGGGTTCGATCCCCGGCAATAGCGTTTTTTTTTTTAGCTCTTCAAAGGAAAAATTAAAAAGCTTAATATTGTAAAAAATCAATCCGACCTGCCGGATTCGAACCAGCGACCTAAGGATTTCCAATTTAGATTAATCAAACTACAGTCCTCCGCTCTACTAACTGAGCTAAGGTCGGAGCGATTAACTATATTTTTGTCCGTATTGTACTCTTTTATGCCACATCGCACAATCCGACATGGCAGTTCGAATGCCACATAGAAAAAAACTTAACGGAAAAAATTATCGGTGTTAATGTTGTCCTTACTTGTTCTAAATCTTAAAGTACCGCGACTAGATTACACAAAATAAAGGTACAATAACTAAATTGAACAAAACGCTACAGTACAGGGACCTAACAGGTACTTTGTCCGACTATGAAATGTTAGTTTCAGTTGCAATTAGATCGCCACACGAACCATGATGCCACATTTGATTGGGTTTCCTTAAATAGTAATATGTGACTGTCCTATTCTGTCGCGCGAGTCGTTGTAGTATAGTGGTGAGTATCCCCGCCTGTCACGCGGGAGACTCGGGTTCGATTCTCGGTAATGGCGTATTTTTTTTTTTTTTTAAGCTCTTCAAAGGAAAAATTTAAAAGCTTAATATTGTAGAACATCAATCTAACTTGCCGGAATCAAACCAGCGACCTAAGGATTTCCAATTTAGATTAGTCCAACTACAGTCCACCACTCTACCAACTGAGCTAAGGTCAGAGCTGTTAACATTATTTTTGTCCGATTTATACTCTTTTATGCCATATCGCACAATCTGACATGGCAGTTCGAATGCCGCGTGGACAAACTTAACGGAAGAAATTATCGGTGTTAATATTGTCCTTAATTGTTCAAAATCATAAAGTAAATAGACTAAATTACTCGAAATAAAGGTACAATGACTAAATTGAACAAAACGCTACACTACGGGGACCTAACAGGTACTTTGTCCGACTATGAAATGCTAGTTTCAATTGCAATTACATGGCCACACGCACCATGGTGTCACATTGGATTGGGTTTACTTAAATAATAATATGTGACTGTCCTGTTCTGCCGCGCGAGTCGTTGTAGTATAGTGGTGAGCAGTGTTGCAAAAATCGCGCCTAGGCGCTGGGCGGTGGGAGGCCGCCGTGAGGAATGGCATAGACCGCCTAACCGGCCGGTTCGGCGAATTTTTTTTTTTTTTTTTGAAAATGTCGAAAATGTTTTGGAAAGCATAACTTTTGACTCGGTTGTCTGATTTGGTCAAATTTTTTTTTCAAATCGCGTATTTTTTCGAGATCTATACACCGCAAATAGCCGAAGGCGGTTTGGTCGACTAATTTCTCAAAAAAATGCCTCTTTAGTTCTTAATTTTAGTTTTTTTATGTATTTAGATGGTTAAAACAATATTTTGAACAATTTTACAACCACTTTCGTAAATAGTTTCTAAGAAACAACTATGGAAACCTTTTGTTTTATTACTAAATTTAAAAAATTTTAATTTTTAATTTTATTAAAAATAAAAAAATTAAAAAAAATTAAAAAAATCGGCGCCTAGGGGGCGCCTAACGTTTTATGCAGCATTGGTGGTGAGTATTCCCGCCTGTCACGCGGGAGACCTGGGTTCAATCCCCGGCAACAGCGTTTTTTAGCTCTTCAAAGGAAAAATTAAA